GCCTCCACTCGCTCGCTCTCCTCCTCCTCCTCCTCTTCCTCTTCCTCCTCCTTCTTCTTTTTCTTCCTGTTCGTCGTTTTCTTTTGCCCGCGAGTCGTCAGTAACTTTCTTCGAACGCTGACGTCCTAGAGGGAAGCCAGTTGATAGGATTCGACGAGGAGAAAAGTCCAAGCTTCTGGGTTTCTTACATCGAAACGCGAAAGATAAAAAGTTCCCGTCGGTGCTCCCGTTTCATCGTGGACATCCGCTCTTTGAGAATCGCGGCGGTGCCGTGCTGGTGCGTCAAATCGGATGAAGGAATTATTAATGGAATTAATAAGTTGAGTGAAAAGGAGCGCACTCTAGTTCCTTATTACGTTCTCCACCCTCCCAAGCAAACTTATTATCTTAAGTCCTTCGGCTCTCCAAGCGAAACGATAACGAGATCGTTACTTTCGAAGTTCCCGCCTCGTGACCACCGCTCGATAATTATTATTTTCCCCTTTCAACGGGTCAGTCGAGCGGATTCGAGTGCAGTTCTAAGACTTCTTCCGGCAACTTGCATGGACCCCCAGCTCTCTCAGGTTTCGTTTTTCTCTGAAAGACGCGACTGACGCCGATGTGTCTTTCATCTTTATAGGTCGTACCCCATCCCCCGTGGTTACTTTGTATCGAGATTTTAAATACGTTAACCTACTTCCTCTGTAACGGGCCATCTACACCTCCGTCTGATCTCGAACAAACGCTCTTCTCCTCTTCCCATACCGACAAGCAGTCGGACGACAAGTTCGTTCCTCGAGTTCGATTTCAATTTATTCCACCGATGAAAATCGTTTCCCGATTTAAAGTGTACAGAAAACCCAGCCGATGGGATTTTTAATTAATTCCTCCTGCCGCGTGTCCGCCACCGCGGGGCCGAGGGGGATGGAAGAAGAGAAAAAAAGGGAGAGAGAGAGAAAAAAACGAGAGGAGAGAAGTAACGTTTCCATAGGCGTATCGAGTCGCGTCGCATATATTAAAACGATCATTAACGAGCTCGCTGATGCGTCGAGTGATAGGGTGCTCTAACGTGGCCGAGATTTAGGTCGCGACCGATTTTTTTCATTCCGCTTTATTACACCGAGCGAACCGCGTTGTCGAGAGTATCGGCTCCGATGATTGCGTGGATGATCCGCGGCTTGAAATCTTTCCCTCTGTATGCGTCCGTGTAACCATCAGATGAGGATGCGTTCCCTATTCTTTTTCTCCTTTACTCCCCCCCACACACACACATACGTACCCTCTATCTGCTGTCGTCGAAGCTCGGTTCTATCGCCGGCCAACTTAGTTTCAATTCACGCCGATTGCGTCTCGCGCACGGGCACGTACGCTTCTCAGTGACAGACACAGACATATATCTCCGGGTATCGCGAGCAGAACGGTAGATTTGCTCGTATATCACGCGTAAACAAAAACCAAGACACCTAGCTGTCGGCCAGAGAAGCTTAAATTTATGGCTGACTACGCGACTACCTTCTCTCGTGACTTAGGTGATAACACTTGCCCCGAGATTCTCCTCTGTTTTTTCTTCTTCTTCTTCTTATTGTTTCTCCTAGTACGACTCGCTAGTATCCTCGCTAGATTAGAAATCGGTGGATTCAAGCATAATTGAAATCGAACAGAGACAGCAAGTGTCGTCGTATACGTGAAAAAAACACACGAGCAACAGTTGATACATCTACGGAAGTTCGTTCTTCTCTAAATTCCTCCAACTACACTCTTCACGAGGAATCTTACGCTCCTTCGTTCCACCTATCTTGTTCATCGCGGAAATCCTCGAAGAGTAGGAAAGTGTACGTTTTCCCGAGCGAAACTTCGCAGGACGTGACGATAGAGAATGGTAGGGAATACGTGAGAGAAAAAGAGAGCGGGAACCGGGAGGAACGTATGAACGCAATAAATATTTTTCATCGGGCCGGCTGAAAAGTTTCCTCAAAGGCGTCGGTGGTCGACGGAGGCGGGCACGGGCTGTTGATTAAACGTTGCGCCGGCGAAACGTATTATTACTCGGAGAACGACGCTTCTGAACTGCAGTCCCGTGAACTTGCTTGGTTCGCTCCGCTCGAGGGGCGGTGGACTTTTTCTCCAGAGCGATACAACCCGGCGATTCTCTCCCGCTTTTCTTCTTTTTCCTCTCTTTCAAACTACGAACGGAGATCCTCGAGAATCCTGCTCTCGCCTCTCCGACCCCCTGGTACACGAAACGCGAAAGTTTACAGCGTGACGGCCGCAGCGCCATTCTCTCCTGTTGCACGCACACACACACACGCGCGCGTATACACGGGTGCAACGGTGAAATTTCTCTGGGCGAAAGAAGCTCGGTTTGCTCGTTCCGTGGCCGCTTTACCGCGAGCAAAAGGGAGGTAAGCGGATTTCGCGGCGGTCGCCTGGCTATTCGCAAACTGGCAACGCGACCCGACCCCGTGGTGCTCGTTATTTCGTAAGAATTAAAACAGC